GCGGCCTTCCCCCGCGCGCGCTGCCGCCGCGCTGGGTGCGCGGCCGCACCGCCTCGCGGCGCGGCAGGCGCGCTGCCGCCTCTCCGCGTGTCGCGGCAGGCGCGCTGCAGCGTCCCCGCAGCAGGGCGGCCAGAGCGGCGCGGCTCGAGCCCGACGTGGTGTACCTCCGCCGGGCCGCTGGGGGTTCGGTGCGCGCCGTCGCCAGGGGCGGGTGCCATCTCTCCCCGGGGCCAGGCCGGGATGCCGCGCGTGCAAGGTCTGTCCCGCGCTGCAGGGCTCGCGGAGGCCTGTTGAGGTGCACCTGCCCTGCCCCTGCGCATCCTTTTCCTCTTGCTCCGTTTTCTCTCCTGTCACTGTCCCCCTCCTCCGCCTGCGCCTCTCGTTTCCCTCGTCCTCTCCTCGGGTCGTGCTCTCTGATTGTGTAGCGGTCGCTCGTGAATGATCAGTGACATGGAGCATGCCGTTTGACAGTTGTTCTCTTGTCTGTCCATAACTTACTTGCTCAAGTTTTTTAGCGGCGGAATCTCTTCTCGCCGTGTATGCTCCCTGGCCCCGCGACTCCGCAACAATTGCTTCCCGCGCGGGATCTCAGGGCAAGCTTGTGGAGGGGTGCCGAGTTGTTCGCTCAGTACTTGGCTTTCTCGCAGGCGGTGCCCGGTTGTCCCGACTGCAGCCTGGTGTGTCCACCGGTGGCGTGTCCAGCGGCCGGCCAATCTCTCTTGTCCAGCCTACGTCGCCCCGAACCTGACGTGCCAGGCGCCCGTGGTGCAGCTGACCTGCCCAGAGCCGCTACCCCTCCCACCAGTCCATCTCTCGTGTCCTGCTGAGTACCCCTTGCGGGTCGAGGGCGACGTCCTCGCCTTCGACGGGCTCTCGCTGACGATCGGTGGCCTCATCGGTTTCGTGGGGAGCTTGGGCGTTTCTGCAGTGGGCAACCTTTGGCAGCGACGCGAACCAGTCGAGAGTAACTCTGTGAGAGGGCGGCTAGGGTTCAGGTGGCCCAGCTGCGGCGGAGAGCGCCCTTTCAGCGGGCGTGATGGCGTCACCAGAAGAATGGGTGTTCATCAAGTACGACCTGCCTGGTGTTGAGGTGGCACGAGCGCTTGGTCACGGGCGTCTCAGTGGCGGAGCCGTCCCTCATTGCGACGCTTTCGGCCGACGGTGATCACTACGCCGAGGACCTCATCCAGCCAACATATGACACTGCCGAGGTGAAGTGGACCGCTCGTGCCGGTGGTACCCCAGCAGGAGTGGATGCGCGTCGGATCTACAGGTTCCACGACCCCCCAGACGCCGCGACGCTGGAGCAGCTGAAGCTGGACGGGGCCCTCACGGTGGGAGGCCGTGTCGGACCGCCCGCCGCTCTCGGTGCCGTCGGCCTTGCGCCCGCTGCGTCGCCGCCGGAGCCCCAGCTCCTCAGCGGGGGGCGGGTGTGGCGGGCGTCGTGGGACGAGCGGGCGCCGTGGTGGTCGCGGCCCCTCCTGGCTCGGTGTGGGTCGCGACGGGGAGGACTGCCATGGCCTCGCTCGAGGCCAGGAGCTGCCGTTGCTTCTCCCCGACGGGACACGCGTGCTCGGCAACTGCGCTGTCGTGTCCTTGCCAGCTGGCATCGTCACCGCCCGCCTCCTCTCACGCGGAGTACGGCGGAGGCCGTTTGCCGACGCCGTCGACCACCAGCTCGCCGACGAGCCAGAAGGGGGGCGTCATGGTGGATGGCCCCCGCACCTCTCTGGCGCTGGTGCGCTCGTGGCGAGACTCGGGCGTTTCCGCCGTGACGCACCACGGGAGCTGGATGCGAGGCGGGAGGATCCCCGAGGGCGGCCGCTCGGTGTACGAGCACGAGATGATCTGCCGCGTGTTGGAGTCGATGCTGACGGTTGACCAGCTCAACATCGGTGCTTTCCAGTCGGTGGAGCTGCTGGCGAGGCGGCTTCAGCTCATTGAGGATGCGCACCGTGGCTCGCCCTCGAGCCCTGACTATTCGGCCAGCGACGTCTACATGGGGCTACTGACTCGGAAGGACGGTTCATCCATTGCGCCCGTTTTCCAGAAGTATGTTGCCGACAGTCTCAAGGACAAGTCGGCGATGCTCAAGGAGACTCGCAAGGCGAAGGAGGAGGCCAAGCTGAGGAGGAACCCCAAGCGTCCCCGAGGCGGAACTGGGGGGGGCGGGAGATGACCTCTTCAGGCTGGAGGCTCGGGCCGTCCTCCAGCCGACACCAGGACTCCTCGCGGGATGAGCCCGCCGCAGTTTTGTTTTCGCAGCCTGACCGACAGCGTGATTTCTTCCCGCCTCCGCCGATCGTGGCGACGTCACCCACGAGGCGAGGGGCCTCTGTGCGCGTCCGCCGCAGGCTGGCACGACGCCGTTCCTTCGAGGCGCAGCGCAATGAGGTGATCGAGGGCCTCAACGCATTTCATTCTCCAGCGCAGCAGCGGGGCTCTCCCAATGCTGCTCGGAGGGAGGCCATCGCGCCATTTTGAACCAGGCGAGGGCTGCCCCCAGAGCCAACGCCGCGCATGCCCGCTGCGAGGCCTCCCGTGAGCTTCTGGCCAGCAGCCTCTCGTGCACCGGCGATGGGGCCAATAGTCCTGTAGTGCAGTATGACAGACCGCGTGTAGACATCCCCAGGGTGGAATCCGCTGCGCCCCGGGTGGAGACGGTGACCGACCCGGTCGGGAGGGATTACCTGCTGCATTTCGAGACGCGCATGCTCCGCTCTGCTGATGCGCGGGGCAAGATCGCGGAGAGCAAGCCCCCCGTCGCCCCGTGCACGGGCGAGTACTTTCGGAAGCACGAGGATGCCTACATCACTTTCGTGGGCGACCTCGCGTCCGCGGGCGCGGTGTCCTGCGTCCTTCCCTTTCAATCCAACGGACATGGCCACCCCGTTCTTCGCGGCGAGGAAGAGCGGTCAGTAGCGCCTGCTCTGGGGCGCCCGCATTCCCAATCGGCGTTTCGAGCACGCGCATCCGCAAAGCATGGGCACCTCCTTCGCCCGCGGCAGGATCGGCCCTCGGGTGCGATGCCGACGACAGCGGCAAGTTCAAGGGCGCCTTGTGATGTGCCCAGGCGGACATTCGCAACTACTTCTACATGCTGGGGCTTAGTCGGGAGCTCGGCTCGTTCTTCTCGCTGCCCCCTGTGCCCGAGGCGATGCTGTCACAATGGGGTCGCCGTGCGGTGGAGTCGCCTCTGGCGGAGCGCGAGGGTTTGGTCTGGCCCTTCCTTCCCGTGGTCCCGATGGGGTGGGATTGGTTTTTTTTCGGCTTGGACAGCGCTGGAATCTCTTTAGATGTCTGCAGGCTTCCTCGCTGAATCCCGAGCGGCTGCTCACGGGCCGCGGCCCTGTTGCATCCCTGGAGGGGGGGGGGGGGGGCGTGCCTGCTGCCTCGCTGCGATGACATCGACGTCGTGGGCGCTGATCCCGCGCGCTGCGATGGCGCGCCGAATGGCACCATCGCTAGCTGGGTCTCCTTCGGGCCGCCTCGTGGACGGGGCGCAAGGCGCGGTCTTATCCAGGCCCGAGCGCTCCGAGAGGATCAGGCAGGGAGATCGAGCGTTTCGCCGGGCACGTCATTGATCGCATCATGCTTCGCCGTGAGTTGCTGTGTATCCACAGGAACATCTACGAATTCATCAGATGCCTTTCCACTGACAGAGTGCGTATGTGGCCCTCGGCGGCGCTCGAGGTTTTCTAGCGCAGGTCTGTGCTGCGAGCAATGTTCAGTAACTTGAGATTGCCGTGGAGCCCCACGGCAGTTGCGAGTGACGCTTGCCTCTCCGGCGTGGCCGCGTCTACAACATCTTTTTTCCGCCTCCGACGTCGCTTCCATCGGGGAAGTCAGCGAACGGTGGCGGTGCTAGGTTCCGTCGGCAGCATCGGCGCGCGCGTCCGCTCTGGGGCCCACCAGGGACTCCCACAACGACTCCTTGGAGGCCACCGCGGGGCCCCTTTACAAGGAGGACTCCGACTGGGGCGCCATGGAGGCCATCGAGGGGGCCCGCCTGGGCGAGCCGTTCGATGCGTTCGGGGACGTCAACGCCGCATTAGGTTCCAAGGGCCCCCACAGCGAGGAGCCCTGGGAGCTCAGCCCAGGTGCCAGCGAGGTCTCGCACGAGGTTCTCAAGGAGGAGCTCCAGAGCGAGGTCTCCGCAGCCCCCTTCCACGTTTCCGAGTCGATCACTGTTCTGGAAGGTAGGGCCAGCGACGCAGGCTCCAGACACATACTTCGGTTCCTTCGGGCCTTCTACAAGCGCCACCTCAAGTCGGGCGACAACCTGGGGGCCGTCGAAGCGATGTCCAGAGGAAGATGCTCGTCTTCTGGGCTCCTCCCGTGCTGCCGCCGAGAGGCCGCCTACCCCATCGCGGCCAATGTTCGGTTCGAGCACCGCTGGGCCCCGCCTGGATTCAACCGCTCGGACAAGGGCTCTCGACACTGGGGGGCTTGAGATGGAGGCGTCGCGCCTCCGAAGAGCGCCCGCCCGCCGCGCTGCCCCGGGATCCCGCCCGCTCGACAAGGCCCCCCTGCGAGGGCGGCCGGTCGAGGGCGGATTTCGCGAGGAGCGGGTGCCCAAGAGGGCGGCTGCGTCAGGGGCGTTCCATGGGGGTTCGAAGGGCGCGCAGTCGTTCCTGGAGGCGAACGCCCTCGCGCCTGCCACCCAGGACGTCTATGTGGTGCCTGACAGGGCGCAAGCAGTTCGTCGCGGCCAACAGGCCCCCCCTGGCGTCGCCTGCGGCGGCCGAGCCGGCCCTGGCGAGTTGCGCCAACTTCGCTTGGGCCGAGGGTCTCGCCGAGGGCGCCGTCCTCCATGTCTACGCAGCGTCCATCTCGGAGCACCCCGACTTTCCCCGACGCGGTTCGATTCGGCCCCCAAGCCTGTCTCGGGCGCTGCAGGGCTGGGAGATGCTCGACCCCGGCTTCGCCAGACCACCGATTCCGTGGATGGTGACCGCCTTCATCGCCCAGGTCATATGATTATGAATCTCAAGTCCCCCATGGCGGCGTTCATGGCACTGGCGATGTTTCCAGCGTGTCTGCGCCCGTCGGAGGCGGGGAACTTGCTCGAGAGGGACCTGGCGCCGCCGTCGGCGTCGCCCCGTTTCTTCGCGATGAACTTCCACCCCGGCGAGCGCGGCAAGGCAGGCGAGGTCAGGCTCTCCGAGGAGTCGATCATGCTGGACTCCATCGTGGCAGAGAGGCTCGGGGAAGCGCTCCAGGCGGCCAGGGGCGGGACCCCGCCGCAGCCGCTGTTTGCCAGCTGCGACGCGGGGGGCCCTCTCACGATCGCCCGCGTCGCCAGCGGTCTTTGCCAGAGGTGCAGGGGCGAGGCAGGTGGGCCTCATGCAAGAGCGTCGGGCGCCACGAGGCGCATGCGCTCGTCCAACAGCAGGCGGCGACGCCCCCCCGCTGGCCTCATCAAGAAGGCCAGGGGCGCGCCACGCCAGCTCGAGGCCTTCATTTTCCAGAGCCTGGGGGGTCCGGGGCGGCGCAGACGAGCGGCCAACGGCCAGGGCGGCCCTGCGCCGAAAGCCCTCCGCGCCGCTTCGGGCCGCCACCCGGTCTCGGCTGCGCCGTCCCGCCGCTCCTCGAGCTCACGTGCGGATCCGCCCACCTATCGAGTGCTGTCGGCAAATGTGGGGTCCCGGCCGAGTGCTGGGACTATGTCGACGGGGCTCAAGCCGACCTGTCAGATCCAGCAGTGATTTCTTTTTTCCTTCGGCGCACACGTAACCGACATGTGTGCGGCCTGCGCGGTGGCCTCGACTGCAAGATGTGGTCCAGGGCCAGAAAAAAAAGATGGTCTCGGGCCGCCGCCACTTCTTTCCGATCAGTATATGTTTGGCATGCCTTCCCTCTCCAGAGCTGACCAGCAGAAGGTCGACAGCGCAAAATTGATTATAAAGCATGTTTTGAGTCTAGTCGAGGCTGCCGCTCGCGTGGGCCTTTTGGTTATGATTGAGAACCCTGCCTCCTCTAGACTCTGGCAAGTGCCGCAACTTCTTGAGTTCGGAGGCCGCTACCAATTGAAGTTTCGACGGGCGGATTATTGCCAGTGCCGCGGTCCCTGGAGAAAGGCAACAACGCTTCTGACTTCCAATCTGCCTGATTTGGACAATGTTCTTCGTGTATGCGCCGGCACCAAGGCGCGCTGTGGCGCCCCAGGGAAGCACCGCATCACCCTGTAAGGCAAGGACTCGCAGGGTGTGTTTTGGACGTCTCGCGCCTGCCCGTATCCACCTGCCCCTTGCTCCGTCTTGGCGCACGCCATCAGTCGGCGAGCCAGGACACTCTTTGGATATGGGTAGGGGCTTCAGTGTGGAGGCAGCTAAGCTGCCAACACTCGAGTTGCCTGGACTCCCAGGCGACACGATTCGCTTTTGTAGATATGGTCATAAGCAGTTTACCCTGACAACAAAAGAGCACCATCACATATTGGCATGTGGGGTTGAGCGTGTATCATGTGTAGAGCTCGCTCGTGAATGGTCACTGACACGGAACATACCGTTTGACAGTTGTCTTCTTCGCTGTCCACAACGTATTTGCTCAAGTTTTTTGCGGCCCACCGTCCTTCCCCTTTTTCCTCCTTCCTCTTCTTCCCTCTAACGGGGCTTCAGTTTGGAGGCAGCTGAGCTGCCAACTCTCGAGCTGCCTGGGATCCCAAACGACATGATTCGCTTCTGCAGCTATGGTCATTTTCAGTTGACCCTTGCAACAACAGGCCATCCTCACATGTTGGCATGTTGCAGATTTCGACGCCCCCCCAAAAAAAAAACAAAACAACATGCAGCTGCCCACGTCCCTGACACCGTCGGTGTCGGTGTCTTCGGTCGGACGCTACCATCCGCTCCAGCGGCGGTCGCCCTTGGGGGTGGGGTGGGGATCAACAAACTAGGGTAGGGGGACGGCACAGGGTGAATCAAGCAAGAGGGGGGGCCCCACGGGGGTGGGGCAGCTTGGTCTCCCAGCCGCCCCTGGGGGGGGGTAGGGTAGAGGGCGACGGGACGGCGGGGACAGCAAATGCGACTTCACCTTCCTCTGTCTCCCCGGTAGTGGAATTCGGGGGGGGGGAACCGGAGATGAGGAACATAATGGGGAGGAGGAGTAGGAGGAGGAGCCGCACTTGGAGACACAGGAGCAGGGGCAGGAGAGGAGAAGGATGAGGATGAGGAGGAGGAGGAGGAGGAGGGGGAGGAGGAGGAGGAGCAGGAGTGCGAGGAGGAGGAGGAGGAGGAGGAGGAGGAGGAGGATGAGGAGGAGGAGGAGGAGGAGTGCGAGGAGGAGGAGGAGGAGAAAGTGTCCTCATCCCCGTGATCTCCCCCCCCCCTCCACGCCAGCCCCAGGGCCTGTCCTGGAGCGCGTCCTGACCAGGGCTTCGAGGCGAATCTCGCCGTGGCGACGGAGTGCCCCCTCGAGGCTCAGCACACAGAAGAGGAGGAAGAGGAGGAGAAGGAGGAGGAGGACGAGGAGGAGGACGAGAAGGAGGAGGACGAGAAG